TAAATATTTGTTCACGAAATCTTTTAAACTATATGATAATCTATATTAACATTTCATGCATAAAATCATCTTTCAAAATAATTAGCAGGGAAAACTAAGATATAAGTTGAAATGATGTCAAACCACTTCAAAAATTAATGATGGTTAATTGCAATAATTACCAACATAGAAAATACATTTAAATTTTATTTCACTTGGGCACCTCCTCAATGATTTTACTAAAAAAGAAAAAGTTTATATAAGAGTGAGCACCTCAAAAATTTCAGTAGAAGTTGTTTTGATGCCAATATCCTCAAATTGATCATCTCAACCTCAAGATGCATGGACATGAGAAAAAAATGGATTTCAAGTTTTGGAAATAGTGCATTATGTAATGTAGTTTTTGGACCGTCAATTTTCAATATTTTCAAGTATTCATAGATTTGTTCGATCTACACTATTTTTTATAATTAGAGATGAAAATATATTTTAAAGCTATCACAATGATTCCTGCATTAAACCATATTTCTTGACACCATTTGAAGGTATGTTTTGTTTATATTGTTTAGAGACTTGGCTCTATACAAACCACACACTACTAAGGAATATACAAATTGTCTCTGTTTTGTAGTACAAATTGCCTCAGTAGGGAAGGGTATTTTGGGATTTGAGGCACTTAAGTTTCTTGAGCTAAGTAACCTAGTTACCTTTGCCTGTTTTTCGTTACCAATTTAAAATATAGTTTTTCATAAGAAAGTCATGTTCTAGGTTCGGAACCAAGAACAAGCAAGGGTACTCATGTCTTTTAGCTTGGTTGGATTATGTGGGGCTCAATTGATAAAATGCCTCCTCTTATCATAGAATAAGATCTTTTGGTGGAAATTTTTTTTTGGATTTCGAACCTGGAACGAGAAGATGTAATATTAAAGTCATTTGGCATGAGTGACTTGAGTGCATCGAATTGCCAAATCCCTTCCTTTGCACGAGGCACAAACCTAGAACAAGGGGAATTTGAGTTTTTTTAACAAAGTTCTTGAGAAGCTACTAAATATAATGAATTTTAAAAACTAACCATAAAATTATTGATTTTAATTAATTCATTTTTTTTTGAGGTGATTTGACCATTTTAGTAATATTTCACAATAAAAGTATATGCAAGTATATGCCGAAATACATCATGATAGTAAGAGAGATATTTGTATTTAAAATCATTTATTATTTTATTTAAGCCAAAAGATTTCGTGCTCCTCTGAGAGCATGATATCTATTTACTCCCTTGGGTAATACTCAATCTAGGAGTATTTTTAGGACCCAAAAAATTGGGGCTATGACTTCTTCGAACCTAGTAATTGATATTAAAAAAAAAGCACCAAAAGAAAACATCCTGAGTTTGAACAGAGACCATCTAATTTGCAAAGGGTGAAATCCAAGTTTTGAAGAACTCAAAATTTAATTTTTTTTCTTATTAGAAGTAATCATCTAATAACCATTAAGTAAATTTCTAATAATTATTAATGGACCTAGTTTCTATGCTGCCAAGGCTGCATATGTAGAAATACAGGCCTATTAATAAATCTATTAGTGAGATGAAGAATAAAAATGGTTTCGAGTTCGTAAAGGCCTACATCTTGAAATTGACCAAATGGTTGGTCTAGATTCATTGTTGGATCAGACTCTTCATTTTAACCAAATGTAGGATGCAAATTTTAATTTTTATTTTGAAAATTGACTATTGCGATGGAGAGAGGGTATGTGCAATTTTTGGGGTGATATAAATGTTGCAAACATGGTTTTCTAGAAGTGTGGTTGCATTATATTACTACACAATCGTTGCATGAAATCATTCCCCCATATATATATATATATATATCTTAGCCCACTAGCTCCTATGAACATATGAGCCCAACGGCCTAAATTGAATCTGGGCCGATCAGACGATCACGGATGTCCGGTAGTGCTTGAATTTATTTTTTGCTACAGATCCAAATCACTTAAAATTTTATGTATGTGTTCTTCTCATCAAGGTGCACCAAATAAAAATATAAAAAAAAAATATTCGTGAAAAATAAAATAACCAAAATACCTCCGAAACTTTTCAGGGGTATTTTGGTTAATTTATTTCATATAAAATATTTTTTTGATATATTTCAAAGATTCAAATATTTTTTTATAAACACGCTTAAAATTTCAAGTGATTTCAATTTGTAGAAAAAAAAAACTAAAATTCAAAACTATCAGACATCCGTGAT